GTCATGTGATCAGAGAACAGGCAATACAGAGAACATTATTGGAGAGAAAGACCAATAGAAAGAGACAAAGGGGAGACCAAGAAGGAATTTGGATGAAAAATATATGTGAATGGGTACAATTGGACTATGCAGGATGCGTCAGAGCGACACAGGAAAGGAAAACATGGCACACCATGACGGTTAACTTTCTGTAAGAGGATGCCAATTCCACACCAGGCCAGAAGTTTAATACAGCACGGTTTACACAGGTTAAGTATGAAATTTTTCTCTTTTTTTTTTAGTTGTGTGTGTGTGTGACGATTAGAACTTGTATGTGACGGTTTGGTGAATGAGCGTGATATTATGCATACATTGGTGGTCAGGGTATTGTTTTCTCTTTTACGTTAACATTTAGAAAGGAGAAACAACTATCAAATTCTACTTCGTAAATAAGCATTGTGATATTCTATCTTCTATTATTTAAGAACTGTATAAAATGAAGTAGGCTATATTTCCGGTGTCGCCAGATTGAGGTTGTTTTTTGTTTATATATATATATATGTGTGTATGTAAATTTATTCCCAAAATAGTTCTTCTTCTTACATGCACATGTAAGATTCACAAAGCAAAAGGGAAATGGAAGAAAAATTACATAGCTAAGCCACTGTTTTGTTTACAGAACTGAGTATCGTAAGTAAATTAAGTGTTGTTCACACATTATTCTGATTAGACTGATTAGATGGTCTAACCAGAGTTTCCCAAGTTGTACTCCGCGGAACCCTAGAGTTCCGTACGATATATCCAGAGGTTCTGCGAGAACATTTTATGTAGTGTAGTGTAGTCGGAGTAAAGAAACAGGCCAGATATATGTATGGTTTTAAAGCTCATCAACCCACAAATCGTACCACCTTGTATTCTCTTTGTCATTGGCTATTTGATTTCTGTGCGGAGCCCGATTGACGACTCACTGTAAGTTAGTCACTAGTGATAGATGAGTGCAATGTTTCAAGAAAAGAGCAAGCTAGTCTTGAGCTTGTGAATATTTCGTAACATCATAGAATTACAGTGATTTTCCAAGTATTGATACTATTTAGTTATGGATCAGTGGCTAAAAGGAACATTAAAGCAAAAAACAAGTTCTTCTGATATATTGAATGTGGCTGAAGGTGGACTGTTGCAGAACTTTACTGCCAAAAAATCTTAAAATGATCTTTCCAAAATGAAGCAACCGCCACCCAAATCATCTTAATTAGCAGCAAACAATAAGAAACGTAAGTACGACAAGAGCTTTTTGTCGTATGGATTTACATGCATTGGAAATAAAGATTCCCTTGAGGCACAGTATGTTGTGTGCAATAAAATAATATCCAGCAGTTCTATGGCACCAACTAAACAGCAACAGCATTTGGAAAAAAATAATTCCGAATGTAAATATAAAGACGTTAGTTTTTCAAGAGAAAGGTTAATGCACCTACAGATGGTAAAACCTCAATGTTAAAAACTGTCAAAACAGACAATGAAAACGCAACGGAGGCATCTTACAAAGCTACAGCAGTTCGTTCCTGGGATAAGCACGCACGATTGGAGAAAACCTCATTAAACCTTTTGCGAAAGATTTTGTAAAGTCTAAGATTGGTGAGCAGACT